AATAGACAGACAATAGACAGCACGAGATCTCTATATATGGACAATTCAGATTTTTTAGCACTACTACTACCAGAGGAACTAGAGGAGGTGATACCAAAACAAAAAATTTTTTTCGTCACAAGATCTGAAATTAATTATTCACAATCTTAATTCCTACCTTGAACATAAAGAATTCGCAAAAAAATGCCATAAAACTTCTTCATACCTTTAAGAATACTACCTTATGGAATCTGATAAAAACAGTAAATCAACCTTCTCAATGCTTCAAAATAGTCAAGGATCTGATTATAGACTTCTGCAATTTTAAACTAAAGAACAGTAATTTTTTTCACAAAAAACTTTTTTGTACTATTCAGTTCAAACACCCTTCTTACGATAAGTTAAAAATACCTAGCATTTTTAAAAAATTTCAGCACTTGCTTCCTGACCAACCACTTCAAATTAAACCCTGTTTTAAATTTGAAAAAAACCTTAGGTCAACTAGTTATCAACCACCACGTTATACAAGATAATAGCAAATGTAATTGCCAATTGACTGTCTACAAAAAATATGTCGATCCTTTCCACCAACATGTTATTACTGGAGATCTTAATATCATTGAAGATGTAGAATTACGTACCCTTTTGCAACTTGGCACCAAATTTCGTCCTACTTTCGGTATTAATAGACACGTCTGCCTCAAACAATTCAATAATGATCTTAATAAATTTATTATTTTAGCTAGTAATAGATCCAATTTACCCACTACAACTTTTCTTGAATGGAAAGCTGCACTTATTAAAGAATTTCAACGTTTGCTGTTCAAGTCACCTTGTTTCAACTCTTTACACAATAAAAAACGCCTGGAGGATCTAATTCAAAAATTGCAAAATCACTTTATCATCACAAAGATTGACAAAGCAAGCAACAATTTTAGTATTATTTGACATCAATTTTACTACAACCTTCTGCATAAAGAGTTAAATAACACCTGCACTTACCAAAAAATCACTACCAATGCTCAGATTCTTCTCAATAAATTTAAAGCACTCCATAAAAGACTAAAAATACAACCACAGAAATATAACAACAGGTTTGCCAATCTCTATGCCTTACCTAAATTTCATATGTCTCCAATAAAATTCAGGTTCATAGCGAATAGTACCAAAAGTTATCTGAAAGAAATAGATTATCTCTTTGCACAAAAACTTCGTATGATACGTGACCTAATTCAATAACTATGATTTTGAGGGTTTGCATTGCAACTGGATGATCTCTAGTAACGAACTAGTTCTTAAAACTATGAATTCACTTAAAATAGACCATATCCAATGCTACGACTTTGAAAACCTCTATACTTCTCTACCACTCGAAGAAATTTTTACAAGTTTACTAGCTCTTCCAGATTTATTTCCGCAAATTTCTACCATTCTCAGCAACGAAAAAAGGCAACTTTTCCTCACCAGCGTGCTCTTCAATAATTTTATTCAATTTGACAATAACATCTATAAACAAGTACAGGGAATCCCTATGGGCGGTAATTTTTCAAGCTCTGTCTGTGAATTATTCCTGTTTATCAAAGAATTGACCTATGTCCGTTCACTCAGTACAGAAGAACGAATCTTTTACCAACACATCTATAGATATATTGATGATGTCATTGCATTTAATAACTACAACAAAATAGAAGTTAGCTAATATCTACCCTGCATGCTTAAAACTAAATAAAACAAATACAGAACAGCATAATGTAGTCTACCTTGATTTACATATTATAGATTACAATTTTATTAAAGTTTACGACAAAAGAAGAGAATTTAATTTTTCCACACTTAAATTAACTAACTGGAATTCAAATATTTCCAAAAGAGTCATACTCAACACAATTTATTCACAGCTACTTAGAATAAAAAGAATCTGCAATACTGCGAAACACTTACAAGAAGAGAAATACTATACTTCGTAACTATTTTAGAAAAGTAACCTAATTCCTCATAAAATAATTAAAAATACCCTAACAAAAGCTGGCATTAGCCTTACCTATTTTTAGATTTTTTTTGAGTTAGATAATGATATTTTATGCCTAAAGCCCGAACGGACGGTTTAAGATGGATGGACTGATTCAGAGAATCTAATGTAAAAATGTACAGATAATTCTTGTTTATTCATTTCTCTTTCCTCCAAAAAATTTTGGCACTTATACTTTTAAATACTATTGTGTACATAGTTTTAAATTTATATAATGGCCAATTTTACTGCTTTTATTAACAAATCGGGCTTTTTCGTTTTTCATAGTAGCTTGATCGCCCGCTAGCTTGAAGTATTACGACTTTTTTAACAAATGACTGTTTTTTCCTTTTACTCTTGCTTTAATGGCCAAGTTTTTGTAGTTTTAGCTGAATTAGCCATTTTCACTTCGAGACAAAAATTTTTTTCCATCCAACTACATGCCAGGCCCCATTTTTGAGATCTTTTACACGTTTTTCCGAGGTTTCCGTCCCCCTTCGATAATAGGAGACGAGTTGCAGATAACGGACAATCTCTTCGTATTGGCTAATGCCCACAGAACTTCGCTCCCCCCTACATACGTCATTCGGATGAAGTACACAGAAGGGAATTACAACCACTTTTCAACTAGTTTTAAAAGGTAGAGCTTTGCATCGCCACAGGTCAGTTTTTTTTTTTTTTTTTTTTTTTTTTGTTACAACTTTTTCTTGGTCTTAGCAAGACCCACTTAGTTTGTTATCATCTTAATTTTCTTTTATTTTAATTACAGTTTTTCATTACAGATTTCTAAAATATATAAAAAATTAAATTGTTAATCTTTAAGCTTGCAGGCCCAGCCCGTATGTTTTTTGTATATTTAGGACTAATAGCTAACCGCTATTTATTTTCGTTTTTATTTTTATTTTATTTTTGATTTTAATTTTGATTTTAGTCTAGATTTAAGATGTTTAGGTATAGTTAAACATATTTTAACACCTTAATGTGTCATTTTGTGCGGACACGTCGGGAAATTGGAACAGAGAGTTGAGACTATTAAAATTTCCAAGACACTTTGTCTAAATTTAAAAAATTTTTGTAGCGAAAAAGTTTCAATTGTCTGTTTCGGCGAAACGCGTAATGGGGTTAGCTTGATTCGACGTTCAAATTAATTAAATTTCCCTTGAAAAGCCAGTTTTGAATTCGAGTTGGGCTAATCATGATTTCATATTTTCAATTTTATAATTTCTACATGCCATCTTAGTAGATTTAAAATGATCTAATATCCGGAAAAATCTCAAATCTGGGATCGCCGAAGTCCCGACGAGTCCAGACCTCGGACTTTGTACTGTATAAATATATATATATATATATCCGTATTATATATATATATATAATTCGGAATGTATATTTTCAGTTAAACTTCTACCCAATAACTTTAGTAATTCATGAAAGTTAATTTTGTGTCTAGTTAATTCAGGAAAATTAGTTTCAATTAGTTGTTTTCAGCTTTAAAAATATAAATATTGATTAGTTAGTTGTTTTCAACTAATAATTGTATCACCATTAGCAAAAATAATGCATTCAACAACACTTTTTTTTGGGGGGGAGGGGGGTTGGATCGCTAAAACTTGGTGAAGTTATCTCATAGAATGCAATATTAAAATTTAATAACATTCTTTGAAAGCAACCTTTTATAAAATACTTAATTGTGTATTGAAGCTTCAAAACGTATTTCCGAACTTCAGTTTTTCTCGGCTACCGTTACCGAATTTGCCCTTGGCGACCTAAAATCGAAATGGAGCCAACAGATTTCCCGCGAAATCGATAACAGACCATCTGCAAAAATAAACTCATAATCCCGATATCCCATACATATAGTATGTGTAAAAGAGAATAGACTCCGTAGAAGGTGATAAAAAATTAATTTATGGCTTAATTGAAACAAACACAGAAATTAAGCTAAGCAAAATCATGTAAAAACAAATTGAAATGATAAAACGAAACTTAATTTTCATGTGAATTTTCAGCGCTGACTCTCCCATTCTAGAAATTTCAATTTGTTTCAGACAAAGACCTTATTTAGCTTTATAAGGATTGTCATCCATCAATATCCAGTCTTTATAGCCAGCTTGATGAGGCCACAGTTTATTGAAAATGCACTTTCTTGGCATGTCTTTCCTATTGGCGTCGGAAGGGTTGTGGCCTTCCAGGTTGGGAGTGTTCTAATTTTGGCAAATATTTTCAGAATCTCACCCCCTTTTTTTTCTCAAGCATCTTCATCATCACTTTCGCCTCTTAAAAAACTTCCGGCTTCACGCTTTCGTCACAATCTGCCTAAATTTATGGACCTGTTTCGAAAAATTGGGTGAATAGCCAATCAGACACCGATACTTGGTTTGGGTAGCTAAGTTTTTTTTTTTTTTTTTTTATCATTTGGAACGCAAATTTGCCAACAGATTGGTTAAGAGCAGTGTAATTTTAATTCCATATTCATGAGAAATCGCAATTCACACTGACAATGGCAATGATAAGAAATGTCAAATGAGCAAAATTAAGGACCGTTATTCATTTTGGCCAAAATTAAGGACTTTTAAGGACCTTGATATCTCCATTGACTGTGATAAAAAGTGATAAAGAAGCTGTGGAAAATTAAAAACTTTGAACCGAATCTTTAAGAAGAATTCTTAACATGGCAGTAACAGGACTTTAACAATTGAACTTAGTAACTGAACAAGAAATAAGAAAATAACAAGAAAAAGAAATGAAACTGTAAATTACTTTTGCTAAAACATTTTCTGATGAAATGTGTATTTTTATAAAAATTATAAAAACTGTACATAATTAAATCTGAAGAATGACTTTCATGCACAAGAAAAGAAATATTAACTAACATATAGGTAATTTAAATATAAACCTTTTTTTCATTAAATTAAAGCACAAGACAGTGCAATTTTTTACTTTTTTACTACATTAATAAGCTAGATACTGGAAGCAAAATATTGGTATTTTTAAATATATTTAAATAGTTTCATACAAACATAGCATTAAACTTACTTTTTTCAAAATCTCTCAGTTTCAACGAAGGAGTTTCTATAGTGCTCGCTATTTCAGCTAAAATAAAGAGAATTTAAATTACAATCTAAACATTTGTTTTGAAAAATCTATGCACAGAACAAGTAAAAAATGAAGTCTTGCACATGACAACTTGCAGAAATAATGCTTTTAATATAATAATATATGCTGAACAAACAAAACCATTATGGCCACCTACACAATGACACGTTGCACGACCTTTGGCCTGCAAAACAGTTGCAACTCACCTTGGCGTAGCTGCTACAAGTTCTTGGCAGATAACTGGAGACAGATTTACCAAATGTTTCAAGCTGCAATCACACAAAGTCGAGATATGCTCACATTCAGTTTGAGCTCTGAGCTGCTGCTTCATGGCATCTCAAATGTATTCTACCGGTTTAAGAACCAGCAAGTTAGGTGGCCAGAAAATTAACTGGAGTTGATCCTTATGCTTCTCAAATCACTCCAACACAAAATGAGTCTTGTGATGTGCCAGTTGTAGGAAGACAGATGCCACGTAAGGCATAATTGATCTGCAGTTATGTTCAGATAATGCGCAGCTTTCACGGTGTATTCTACCACAACTAGGGGTCCCAGAGAACATACCAGTCATGCAGTTTTGAAGATCAAGTCTTCAGACCATTGCAATCTGCCCTCTGTCAAATTCACTTAGATCAGCAACTTTTCCCCTCACTGGTAAGTGGAAGAATGATTCTTTACCTTCTTCAGCAGCAGTTAAATAAAATTCCTACTTAATCACTTTCTCTCCATGTCATTCAGATGAGTTCATTGAAAAATGAAGGGATGGTCATAATGTTTTGCCTCATCAATGTATCTTTAGCGCAATTAATAAAAGATGTTTCTAACACTGTATAATGTGTACTTCTTCTGCAGTAATTTATTTATATTGTTCCTCATTATTATGCTGATATATCATTTTGATATATATGATAAAAATTATACATGTAAGATAAAAAAAATATGTGAATCAAAATTATAATTTAAACTAATGGAAAAACTTTAATTCTTCCTCTCTGTTTTAAAAATCACAATAACTTCTCTGGATTGAGTCATTTCTAGTCCTTCTATGGTCTGAGCAGCTCTGGTGATATAATAATTGGGAACTGAAACTACCATTGTAAACTAAAACTTTTCCCTTTGCGTGCTTCCATCTTTCATAACTATGCACTTCAGCTTCTGTCTGTGCTGAGCTTGGATGCAATTTTGCTATGCTGCTTCCTATTGCAAAAATATCAATAATGAACAGGCACGACAACCTGAACAGGCACGACAAGGGTGTCAAGTGATCTGTGGCCACATAATGTCAATTGGAAATAAAATTGGAATTAAAATCACCTTGACTGCAAAGTTTTATTTACGAAGTCAACACAATAGCTTATGACACAATCAGAATACTTCCTCTTCAATATAGGATAACTACGAATAAACAGTGCTCCATCTTTTCCTTGCTTTTATTATATGAATTAGTCGGTCAGGATAGTTTCCTGCAGCCTGAGACCTGAATGGAAAATTTAGTTCAGCTCTTCAAATCATTGTTTTGTGATAAATCCAAGATAATGTGAAAGAAAAGAATCATCAAATTTGTTTTTTCAGTGTTGTAATCTCTCGATAAATTTAGAAGTTCGAATGTCTAGTGAAAACAAATATTGAATTTGCTTGGGCCATCTTTACAGTATTTAGGGGAGGGAAAGTGCTTTAAATCATCGGTGAATTACCGTTTCGGAGATCTAGCATTAGAGAGTGTTCAAGGTCACTAATCTGAGTTTGTGCTTTGCAAGTATGTGCCACAGAAAATTATTTGTGCTTCCGCTTTTTCAACAGTTCAAAAATTGTTACATTTGTGTGAATCTAACTCAGGAACAAAATTATTTAATATGCTGCAAATTCTATAGTTTTCATTTCAATTTTGGTTAAAATTTCTGCAATTTGATGGTGCTGTTTTGAGAAAATGTGAATTCTTCATTTTTTTACTTTTCGTAATTGTGAAGAAATAGAAAAGCATTTAAACTTTAGTGGATTAGGAAATAATAAACGAAGACCCCGCTTAACGCTGTTTCGTTTAGCGCTGTTTCGGTTTAGCGCTCTTTTATTTCCACGAAATCGCAGCATACGGGGATTCCCCGAAATATTATGCAGCGATAGGTTTCAAATACATATCCGAAAGAGTGTACTTGTATTTCTTGTTTGGTGCGGTATTGTACAGACATATTTTGAAGGGGTAAATGTGGAAGATGTCGAAGAAATAATTCAAGAAGCAGCGGCTAGTCTTTCTAATGATGAGCTCAAGGAATTAACTGAACAAGAAGAAAACAAAAATGTTGACAGCAGTGATTCAGAAGAAGAGCAAAAAGAACTTTCGATGGCGTTTGTAAAAAGGAGTTTGTCTACCATAACTGAAATAATGGATCAATTCATTGAAAATGATCCGAATTTTGACAGGAGCTCAAAAGTAAGGCGTGGTGTTAGAGATGCTCTATCCGTTTATGAAGAACTTTTAAGAGAACAACGCAAAAGAAAAAGGCAAACAACATTAGATGCTTTTGTCACAAAAAGGCAGCAGAACACTGAAAACGCGGAAGGCTAACTAAATATGACTGACTTAGAATTTTATTGTTTTTTTTTTTAAGAATATTCGTTTTTTGTATATTTTTTTTATTTTTGCAAGAAATAATAAAATGTGGTATTAATTTGGGCTTTAAGAAATAAATGTTTGGTTTTATTTTTATTAAAAAAACATACTTTTTAAATTTAATACCTAACCAATTTCCTAGCCATCTTCCCCTAACCCCAATATTTACATGTAAAGATAGCCTCGTTTAGCACTGTTTCACATTACGCTCTACCTTGATGGAACGTATCCCCCGCGTTAAGCGGGGTCTTACTGTATTTTTGAATTTATGGAGAAAATTTTGCATTGTTCATTAGAATTTTTAAGCGCATGAAATAATTTTGAAAAAATTAGCATAAAATATGATAAACAAAGTGTTTTTGAGTAGTATTATAGGAATCATAAGTAGTATTGAATTATGTTAACTGATTAAAAAATGTACGGATCATAATATGTTTAGATAAACTTTGAAGGCTACCACTTTTATTTTTTTTCGAATATAATAATTTATATATATTTTTAATATAATGGAGTGTGATTAATTTTTTTTATAAATGGGTTTATAAATTGTAATGCAGTTTGCAAAGGCAAATACAAGGCTTATACAAGGAACGGAGGCCTTTCCAAGTAACTGCCCAAATAGCTGAAAATGTGTACAAGGAGAAAGCTGTGGGGTCTTTACATTTGTACAAAATAAATCAATAAGAAATTTCGATAATAATAGTATATTATTTCAAATAAAAATTTAACTACATTATAAAATTCTGAAATTTTTGTGATTTTGTAATGCTAGTGGATTTCTTTGAAATTTTTGTACTTGAAAAAGTTTTTAAAGCCTTCCCTAAATAGATTTGATTATGAATTTTATTTCCTTATTTTATATTCACAAAATTATATGTTCCATATCAAAATTGTAGGGCAGTGTAAGATTTAATATATCTTTAATTTTGCATATTTGTATATTTTTCCCATTTCAATTAACTAGTTTGAAGATTTTTTATACAGTAGAATTCCAGAAATCCCCAAAGCTTGAAACCAGAGGTTGTACGGATTTCAGGACAGAAAAGATGCATAATATTTGGATTAAAAGTGCAAACTGAATAAGGCATATTAGATACATTTAATTAAATTATTATATACATTATTGCAATAAGTTATTATAAGCATTAAATTATTGTTACATATATAAATGGATTATATTATTCATTGCATTACATGTACACAGCATCGAGGTTTGCCGATTTCGCCACATGCAAAGATTTCCAGTTTCGGATTCCGGTGTTAGAATCACTGTTGCTGTAAATTTCAACAGCTTTTCTTTATTTTTCCATAAATCATACACAATCATGTCGCAATTCCTATAAATCGAGCTATAGCACCTGCAATAAATAGAGCAGTAGCACCTGCTTCCATCTTTTGCAGAATTTGCACTTTTCGCATTACCGTCAATGCAACGTGTTTAAGTTTTTCAACGTTGCAAGCAGTAAAATCACGAGTGCGTTTCTTATCTGGCATTGTATTAAATAGGGATTAAATTAAAAATATTCTTAATTTATCCACAAAATATTCGGATAAAAAAAGGCAGCACTAAACAATCTCGTGAAATGAAATAAGAAAGCTCAGAAAATACAACAACTTGAATCGTGAACTTGAACAAAGAGTTGAGTGAATCGTCTGCTTTTTCCTCGATACAGATTAGAGGGAAAAAAAACTTACCTTATTTTATTTCTTTTAAAACTTTTTTATATCAATAATTTGGTATTTCCGTTTTGACTCATTATTATTATTCGGTAAGTATTTTTTTCTTCGATATTTCGTACTCAATGTTGCAGTTTCCGGAACCTATAAACTGAAAGTTTATATTCCTAAAGTCAACGCAGAATTCAGGTCGGCGGATTTTCGGTATTTGAGTGTAGTTATAAATTTTGATAATTATACAATACTAAAGGCCAGTACCTTTATTAAGGAACGGAGGTTTCTATGTGTAATTGTATTTAAGCATCCCACAGCCATCAGCAAGTTATCACGCTGATTTGCATTGTAGAGGATTTGCCTATTTTTATCAAAGTATAACAATATAGTTATTGTACTGAATTTTTTTACTTACTATGTATTAAGTTCTAAATTCTATTTTGCATTGCTTTACAATTAAGAAAATGCAGATTATATCAAAATAATCAATTAAAATTTCCTGTATCTATAAAGGAAAATTTTGGTTTTATATTGGTAGGACGAGTTTTGATGAAAGACTTTCAAGTTAAGGACTGCAAAATATTGATTATAATTAACGTTTAAGCATAAATTTTACGGAACTGTAAACTTTCTTGAGAAAAATTAGAGGACACTCTTTACGATGAATTTAAAAATTTAATTTTCAATAGAATTTTCAATTTGAATTTATTGTTAAAAATGATATATGTAAGGTTTTATACTTTAAAAAATTATTTATATCAAAATTTTGTGATTTTTTTCTCACTGTTGTATATACCTAGTTTTGCTAATTCTGTAATGCTTTCTTCTAAAAAAGCTTTTCTGTTGCCACGCCTTTTTCTCTTTGAAGGGGGGGGGGAATATGCAAGATAAAAAAATAAGTAAATCAAAATTATAATTTAAACTAACGGAAAAACTATAATTTTGCTCTCTCTCTGTTTTAAAAATCGCAATAATAACGTCTCTGGATTGCATCATTTCTAGATCATTCTATGGCCAACTCTGATGACATAATAATTGGGAACTGAAACTACCATTGCAAACCAAAACTTTTTTCTTTGTGTGCTTCCATCTTGTATAACTAAGCACTTCAGCTTCTGTCTGTGCTGTCTTTAGATGCAATTTCTGTGGCCACATAATGTCAATTGGAAATAAAAATGGAATTAAAATTGCCTCAACTACCAAGTTTTATTTACGAAGTCAACACATTAGCTTACGATGGAATCAAAATACTCCCTCTTTTCCATGCTTTTATTATATCATATATATATATATATGTATATACCATATCATTTTCTGATATCAATCGTTTTTAATTATTAAAAGTGTTTAGATGGTTGAAAATAATTTAAAAATAATTTAAAATTACTGTAGTCATCTAAGAGTGCTGTATATATGATGGTGAAATTTAGTATTTTGTAATTTGAAGGAAAAAATTCTAGGGTATAGCTACACTTCATTTTAAATGTTTAAGACTTTTTATGCTAAAAATATAACCAAATTCAGTTATTTAAACTTCTGATTCCAATTTCCACATGTTAAGCATCAGTTCTTTTGCAATTAGGCATAAAATGATAAAAATACATTTAGAAGGTAAAACTCTAGCAGTGGTATGATTAGAACTTAGACTTGCAAAGACTTGTTTTTTATGCCACATCTTAGAACTTTGAACCCCCCCCCCAAAAAAAAAAATCTAACTATTTGACACTGAAAACTCGTCATCCAGATGAGCTCATCGAAAAATATGGGGATGGTCATAATGTTTTGTAGTGTCAGAGTATGCAGGTATGATATATACACAGAACAGTTGAATGCATATAAGTTTTAATACTACTAATTACATAATTAGTCTAAAACAACAACAGATGGCATTAGAAACAAACTGCTTTAAAATTAAACAATAACTGAAAAAGTATATTTACAAAAATATATTAATAATTTAAAAAATGAATACAAATGATTTACCGATCCCATTAATTTCTAAAAACTTTCAGCTTATCCCCCCCCAAAAAATGAAATCTGAAACTGAAGGTAGAAATATAAAAAGCATTCATTTTTGTGGGATATTTAAATAAATTTCTTAAAAATCTTTGTGCGTGGTTGTAAAACTGCAACAATTAAAAAAGGGGGAGACAGAGAGAGAAAGGAGGGAGGGAGAAATTCCAGTATGAAAACTTTAGATTACAGTTTCAAACTTCAAAGGAGAATTTAACATTCAAAATTTAAGATATCATGAAAATACATAAATAAATTAAGAATACATATGTTTAGAGCAATGTAAAAGTATTATGTATTTTAACACTATTTATGCTATTCATCTCAAAAACATGAAATTAAAAAAAAAAAGATTCAAAACTAGTAACATTTGTTATTAAAAACATCTTATTATTTACAACACAGTAGCACAGGCTTGTAGGATATATCACAAATTAATATTTAAATTTATATCAATTACTGCCCAGCCGGCATAGTGGTTAATGATGCCGTAGCGATGGGCCTGGGTTCGAATCCTGGAAAAGGCATGGTTGTAACTGTCTGTACCTTCAGAGAAGGCAACAGTGGCTACCTATTAGGTGCTTCCATAATGAAATGACAACCACTTCTGGCCTTGCAGGGGCGCAAGCCTAACGGCTATTAAATAAAGTGCTCGACCATTTTTTTTTTAAAAAAAGAAAGAAAAATTTAAATCAGTTTAGATACATTATTAAAAAATAAAGATTTAAGTTATTTAGGAGTGTACTTATTGCTTTTAAATTCTTCAATGTTAGAAAGCAGAGTCTCAGAGTCGAGTAATAAATTCTGCAAATCTGCCATGCATACGAATACATGAAAGATAAATTAAAGGACAAAACATGTGGTCATAATTGTTGTTTAGATTTTTTCCACTGTTAGTTTCCCAGATATGGATTTTATTTTACTAGCATGCTATTTTAAGGGTTAAATGAGAACAACTATGTCTCTTCAAAGAGTTATATACACATTACAATATTTACAATAATTTGGAATGCAGCCTTCATTTGTTTGTATAATTGAAATTTGCTATGTGCTTACATTAGGTATGTTATGCACTTAGGTATGCTAATGTTACAAACCACGTGTTATATATGATTTAGTTGCATTTATTTTCACTTGCATGACTACATATTTAATTCTAACTGATCATTACCATGTTCAGACCATCTGCCCATACTTTATTGATTTGGTAATTGAGTATGGCAAAAATTCTCACTGAATATCCGAAGAGACATTTCTTGAAAGAAAATGGCGTCCATACCACATCGTAATTACCAACCCATTCAGCGATGGGCTTTTTCTCAAACAAGAATCAAACCAGTTTACTGCTACAGTTATTGGATTACTGATAGGCAAAGGTAATGTAACACACTCTTAAATAATAATAATAATAATAATAATAAAACGAGGGGGGCTTTAGATAAATGTATTTTCAAGATGGAAAATTTGTACATACATTATATACATACACTACTTTCCACCTCGAAAACAATCAACTGTTAACAAAAAGAAAATTATTTAAACAAGCTTACTTTTTTTTAAATTTTTCACTTCAACAGGTTTGGAAACTTGAATTCTGCATTCAGTTACTTTTACACTTTCACCTTAAAAACAAGATAACATATATAATAATCACTTTATGATTATTTAAGGTATTTTTCAATAATGAAATCTCTACATATAGTAAAAGAAAGAGTATGTCTGTGTGTGTGTGTCTTTTGTTCGCGCAGCGCATAAGCTAATAGACCCACGGCTACGAAATTTAATACATAGTTGCATCTTAAAAAGAGCCAGTGCCCCTCGAAGAGATTTTTTCGAAATTCGAATTAGAATTTTTTTTATTTTATGTTTTGTGACGAAATCGTGTCATTTTGAGACATAATGGGCTATAGGAAAGCGAGATTTTACTCTACAGACTCCATTTTCACATCGTCATGAAACGTAGGCACTTAATTATTTTACGAACTTAAAATAAATTTCGTGTTTCAATAAATCGATTAAATCAAATTTATTTAACAAAGTGAGCTTAACACCTTTTCAACGGGATCGTTTCCCAAAAAAGTTTATTTTTCTTTGATATTTGAACATGTTAAACTTTCATCCTTGCGACTGCTTTTACAAAAAGAATTTTGGAAAAATAATAATATTTTGTATTTAAAAAAACTTTTTTTAAATGAAGCTTCCGAGTACACTTCTCACATCTTTAAAAATGTGATTTTGGCAACAATTTTTCTTTCTTATTGTTGTTGATAGATTTTTGATGAAATCGCATCATTTTGAATAGTTTCATTCTTTTAGAAATATGGGTTTGGCAACAATTTTTCATCGTATTTCTTATGTCACTGTTTTTAAAAGATTGGCATATTTCATTGTTATTTTTTATATAGATAATACATTTTTATTGATAAAGTTGTTCTGCAGAGTAAAAGTTATTTTTTGCTTATTTCACTATTTGTAAGATATTGAAAAGTTTTGGATGATTTTTTTCTTCGACGGAAAGTTGGTTAATTTTTTTATTAGGATAACTAATATTTGTACTGAGGGATATAGCTTATTTCATTGTAATTTTTTTTCTCTTGAAAATATAAGATAAAATATCATTAATTTGCTTTTCAGAATTTTTTGCTTTTTGTATTTTTTTTATGTTATTTATTGCTCATTTCACTGTTTTTACGATATTGAAAAGTTTTGAGTGATTTTTTTTAGAAAACAAAGTTCTTAACCTCCTTTATACCATTTGAGTTCTTAAGATTTTGCAAAGGGAAGTTGGTTAATTTATTTATTAGGATAATTAATATTTGTATTAAGGGATATTGCTTATTTCACTGTAATTTTGTTATACATAATAACCTTTTTTATGAAGTTGTTCTGCAGAGTAAAATTCTACGTAGTTTTTAAATTTAACGTTTGGTGTTCTCTTCAGCCATTTTTCCGGTACATTTAAAAGCCAGACGAAGGCTGGCAGCGAAGCTGCAAGTATATTATAAATACAGTCAACCCTCTTACATTATCTAATTAAGACGATCACCTTGAAAAGGATCAAAATACTGAGAATACAAATCAGTATTGAAAGTCACCTTTAAAGGAAACTACTTCCATGGAAAACCATAATTGCCTGGAATGGTGGGAAGGTGGTCTTAAAGAGGGTTACTTGTGTAGGAAAAATATAAATTTGGTTACTGTAAGCAGCATTGTTACATAAACTGTATTTAATAACTTTGATGATTATGTGACCAAACTTTCATGTATTTACTATTTATTTCAATTTTCAAAATTTCCCATTATATAAACCAAGATGAAATAAAGATATAGAATAAAGATGATAAAAATTTAAAAAAGAACAGACGGCTCTATCATAATAAATAAATAAATAAGGATAAATCGTTAAGTTCTCGGAATTAAAGAATATTCTGTAGTCTTGCAGTATGTGATCTACCACTCTTAGTTAGCTACATATTTCTTACATGGTCCTACTAAAACTCTGTTTTTAAATTCAAATGAGCAATAAAATAGCATGAAAAAGAAATGATTAAAACAAATACCAATTTTAATACCACAACCTAAAACATAAGCAAATAACTAAAAGCGATAGAGCACATACAAATGATTATGATACTAAATAAAGAAAAACAATCACAGTATTATTGCTATTGCAATTTTAATTTAAAAAAAACATTATATTTCTCAAAATTAAAATTCATATTGTCTTCTCTTTATCCCCTCTCTCAAAGTTTCTGCATCAGATTTAGAATCTAAAGAAACTTAGCAATATTCTTTTACAGTGTGATTTACCTATGTAGAAAAAATATAGATGGCATATTTAGTCATTTTTAAAAAACCATCACTCATAATTTTTCCTAGCATACGCAAGCTGATTCATCCAGCACACAACAGTACACCATGCTATTTTCAAACTCATTTTTTTAACAATGTATACATATGACATAAAAATTCTAATACTGATGCTATTTTATCAGCCTTTTTTGAAAAAAGAAAGAACTAGACTGTCAAGGAGATATTAAAAAATTACATTAATTCAAAAAAGCTTAAAATCCTGTCCTATAAAAGAAATACACTGCAAAATGCCCAATCTAGAAAGCATTAATTTTTCTTACCTTCCCTATCTGTTAAGGTTTATAAATTTTTCACACTTTCGTGAACTTAAAAATAAAGACAACACGATTATGTTTATTTACCAATTTATGACTACTATAAAATATTTTTCAATATATTATAAATCTCAAAATGCAGTTAACCATTTTGTGGTAAACATCTAACTGAAATGACCATCTCAGAAATTGACCAGTGAATATAAATCTCAGAAATTCAGAAATCTCAGAAATATAAATATCTCAGAAATTGACTGAGAATATAAACAAACTTTAATGTCACTTCTCTAAGAGCACTATTTCCACAGAAGATTAAAAATTACCTGGAAGAGCCTTCTAAGAAAGATTTCACTGTATCCTAAAAATATACATTTATTTATCACAAGAAACAATACTGTTACTATACCTAATAGCTTTACTAATCACATAACCTGCCTTGTATCTATCATTGTAATTTATTTTAATTTTCAAATTTTTTTGCCACATAAAGTAAGATCTGAGAATTAAAAATCATCAGAAACTTAAAAGAAACAGAAACAATTGCTCTATCATAACACATACTTTTCAATTATTCCCATCCCCACAAGTTCTTGGATTCTTCATCAGGTTAGGTTATTTGAATATTGCAAAGCCATGCGAACTATCTGCCCCAAAAGGAGGATGTCTTCATGGAGGAACCACTAAGGTCCATAACACACATGCATTTGTTTCATACAAACAACCATTTTGGACAATTTTTCTGCCTGGTTTACTATTGAAAGAAAAACTTGCATTTTTTTCCCTTCCTTTCAAAAAAAAATTGCAAGTTGTTTATTTTCAACAATTTCACTTGTTTGTAATTGAGAACGAGTTTCCCCTTTACATGTTAAAACCGAAGTAGATCCGTGGAGATTGGCTGTTGTGACAAAGCAGAAAAATTGTCCCAAAATTTTGTTCTTCCGAAACAAACAAAGGTCTGATAGCAGCCTAAGGCAAACTGACACGTATTCACATTACACACTGGAAAGACCACAAAAACCAACCATACAGCCAGCCTGTCACTTACCGAAGTCAGGTCAAACTACCAATATTCAATGGTTTTAACCATAGCCACTGGACGAGCCACTGGACGAGCTCATCAGAGTTTGACATTAAACAAAATAAAATTACCTACATTAGTATGATAAAACCCATGCTAAACATGACTACGGCATGAGCTTTAACATGCAATATACCTGCTTTACAGCTGGGATCCAAATGAAAGGCTCAATCAAATTTCCCTTCTTTTATTACTATTTTCTGCAGGGTTGTGCCATGTAGGGTTGTTACAATTTTTAGGATAGACATTAAGATGTATAACAGCTTGAAAGTAAATATTCTATTACAATATGATCTAAAGTTTCTAAAGCTGGCCTTTAATTTGTTGTTCAAATGGTTTCAATTTGTCATGCATCTAAACATTAATCTTTAAAAATGCTGTAACCCTAGGCAAAGTAGTATTGCACAAGATAATGATAAAATAAGGGTAACCTATTGAGCCTTTCATTTTTAGATAGTTGAATGGTCATCTATTTTTGGATGACTGATGATGCAGACAAGCTGCTTGCAACACTTTCTACCTTTGTAATATTTAAACATGGTTACTGGCATGTTAACTAAGATTATTTTGTTGAACTTTATTATAAGTGTGTGTGTGTCTTTTTGATATTTAGCATGACATCAGGTTTTGGTTTTAGAAGAATATATAACAGTTTTAGCAGCATGATTTATTAGAAATTGTTAAAAGTAGAAAAACTTGTATATATATAAATAAGCCTTCTACAGGGTGTTCGTACACATTTCTGCACATGGGAATTAAGTACTTTTAAGGACCATTACTGAAAAAATTTAGGACCTATGAGCAAATTAATAAATTCAATCAAAAATATTATCAATGCCTGAACTTCACTTTTGTAATACAATCCAAAAAATTATATTGATCCCTAAGTAGGATGCATTATTATTAAACATAACTTAATTAACATAATTATTAGTAAGTTTGATTATAAAATATACTTTATGAAATTTATCAAACAGCATTAAATATTTTACACTTATAATAGTTCAGCATATTTGAAAGAACATAAGTGACATTTTATTTATGTTTTACTAATAGTTATGGTTTCATGTTGGATTTTTTTTCTGTCTCATTACTTGCTCAATCTAGAGGTTTAGTAAATAGCCAGGTAGATTTTATGTCAAGAGTCATAGGTTAAAATGAGAAGTAAAATCATAATAAGAATGATTTATAACAAAAGACTGGCTGTTGTCACCACTGCTCCTTGCCTAAAGAGAGACCTGCAGACCAGAACAAAACTGAAAGGCCTGATGTGGGCACGGTTAGCTAGTTTTTAAAGTTAGTTGGGCTCTGTCTGTTGCAGTTAGTTTCGTAGCTCTGTGTAGAGTTCCAAGGATTAAAACCCAGTTAATATACTTTAAGGTGTCGTAGCTCCGTATAGAGTTTCAGGGGGATGTAACCCAGTTAATATACTTTAAGGTTCCAATAAGCCACTAAAGCACCAGAGGTGACACTAAGCTGCTTTGTATTATTTTAGGTCTCACTAGATACGAAGAATAAGTTTTACATGAATTTTTACACTTTTGTGTTTTACCTTATACCACGCTAAGAAATAATGAAAGACAATAACTCACTTTAATATGCACAGATAATTTTTAAGGGTAAGCAGTTAGTTATAAATTAAATTAGGATAGTTAGATAACCTTAGTCATAATGGATTTACATGGACCACTATTAAATTTTATTCTATTTTTTAACAATACTGTTAAAAGTCCCTATTAAAATCACAATCTAATAAAATTTCACACTTTAAAATACATGCAATTTATGTAACTGATTCTTCAACGATATTAGGATAATTATACATTAAAAGCTACAAAACATTCATGTTTTATACCAACAACACTTAGCAAAATATTTATGCTTCTTCTTAATTTGAAGCCTGGCCAGACATTTTGGCTAATTTATATCGATTTCCTTCTCTTTAAGCATCTTTACTAATGTTCTCATTAGTTTCTATGTGCTTTATCTCCTAAATTGTCAACCTCTCCACAATGTACCTATGAGGGTTTACTTGATCTGGTAAAAGTTAAATAGTCCAAAAACTCCCGACAGACACAAAGCAAATTATCGCTATTTCTCAAAGTAATTACAAAGACAAAGGTTTAAATAAGCCTCTTATTTAAAATGAACTTAAAGGTATGTTCTTATGCTAACCAAATCAATTAAAGTTTGAGGTGATGTACACAAGAACAATCAAATTCAAACAAAAAAATGCGGACTAGTGGTCAAAGACGATACAATTTAATTTAATTTTAAGCTAGCTCAGTAACTCTACTGTTATAACAAATTCAAATGTTGGCAGCAATAATGCAAAGACGAATAATTACAAATTATCAGAGCTGGCAGGAACTAATGCAAAGACGAATAATTACAAATTATCAGAGCCGGCAGGAACTAATGCAAGGAGCAAGTGGAGGTCAGAAACACACTCGTCTTACACTTCAAACACCTCAGTTTAAAAAATGTCTAGGTGATTCCCATTCTGGGGGGAAAATACAAATGAGAAATTATAGTAAAAGCTAAAATTGTAAACAACTGGGAAATTTACATAATAATAACTGTACATATCTTTGAATAATAATTTTATATATTCAGTTTCTTTTGTCTACATTTTCTTTTCATTTTAGAATTTTTGGATTTAATTAAATATTTCTGTTATTCTAAAAAAACTAAATGCATTTAAAATGTATAGAAAAAGCTGCTAATTTTATTTCTTTAGCAATATTAGTTAGTTATTCACAAGAGATATGAAATATATATGGTAAGGGCCGGTTACAGAGCTGGTGTGGCAGAATTTTTAGAATTTAGTGACACACCCAGCAACAAAATGTAGAAATGGCAAAACAAAACTTTTAGAATTTAGAGCAGGCACTGGAAGCAGAATTTAGAAAGGCACTAGTCAGCAAAATTTAGGATCTACAAAGAGAGGTTTAATATTCCACGTGATTGCACTAGGTGGGAAAATGCCTAGCGTCAGACCAGTCTATGATGCATTAAGACATATTAGATGAATCTTTTAAATTGCCAGTTTTTAATTCCAGTTTTTAATTTAATTTAATTTAATAAATTAATGCCAGTTTTTTAATTTAATTTAATTTAATAATTTAATAAGATTAGAAGCATTTTTAATATTTTCTATACTTATGTCTAGTGAAAAGTAGAGAAAATAAAGCAAAGATAAGCATGTTAAGAAAAAGATTCTACTATCAGAAGTAAAACATCCAAATATTATTTTCATTGTTCTTCCAGATGTTATCCAAAAAGCAAGAAATTCATTGCAAACTTCCTGTAAAATACATCCATTACATGTTAATACCATAGCAACATTTTTCATTTTGTCACATTTTTCTAAAATCTGGAATCGTGGATCTATAAATCTTGCTTTCAAATCCTTCTAAACTTTCCAAGTTGCATCCTTCTTCAAGTTGCAATGTCTAATGTCCCGAAGAAAAATTTCCCCTATCAGTTTTGTAACAGCAAAAAGCCAGAAATATATTGGGGGGGGGGATCAGACGAAAAAAGTATGAAATTAATTAATTAATTTTATAGAGAAAACTGATGCATATTCCGAGAATTCGGAATACTCTGAGACAATTACACGTGAAAACTCTTATCTTGAAAAAATTGAAAAGATATTTTTAAATTAATATGTTACTTTTTAAATATAATTTTAATACAACAACATTATTTTAATGAAATTTATCAATGTTCGAATGTTTAAAAAAAAAATCGTCAAAAAATTCCCAGTTCTTAGAATTTAAAATTTTCTATAGAAACTGATCTTAAAAATCGCCAAAATGTTGATAAGTTAACTTAGATCCATTCAATAAAAGAATTCACATCCCAAAAAGCGAAAAATTGTTTAAGAGCTCTTCATTAGAAAAAGTGAAATAATTTCGAAATACTTGTTTCACTTCTTGCTCAGAAACTCGAGTATCCCACCATTTATATTAGAAATAGGAACAAATCATAACCCATTCAAATAACCATATTTATCACTAAATCACCAAAAATATACCTCCAAACTAATTCACACTCAAAATGGCAGTCGTAAAAACAAACAGAAATTTTCACATGATTAAAATTAAGGACCTTCTGCTGATTTTGGCCAAAATTAAGGACTTTTAAGGACCAAAAATCGATTCCAAAAAACTTAAGGACTGTACAAACCCTGTTCTATCATTATAATCATTATGGTTCATTAACCATTCTTACCTATGAATAAGATTTCTTTGAAGCTTTCCACATTGGTCAAAATTTACCTCCTAAATTAATACTTCCCATGCTATGTAACTTAGCTGTACTTTCCTGCACCTCATGGCACACTAGTGGAGCTGTAGTAAACTTTTGAAGTGTTTTATTCTCATGTAGTATTCATTTTTAATCAATATGAAAGTGACTGCTCTATATTTAAATTATGTATAAAAAGCATAGATTGCAGTACCTAGCCACTGTTATTGAATTTTTCTTAGCTTATACAATCCAATTCTTTCTGTATATAATAGTACATCACATTGTCAAACTATTTTAATTATTTGCATACTTACAAATTAAGGATATCTGGTGATACGTTATTTGAAACAAACCAATTTTTATATTAAATGCAGGAAAAATTTTAAATACTAAAAAACTAAAATAAATAGCAAGAAAAAAATTATTTAAGCAAAATTACTTTTTTTACAGCTTTCCATTTCCACTGGTTTGGAAATTTTAATTCTGCATTCTGATGTTTTCAGTCTTTCACCTTAAAAATAGAAACAATATATTTATCTATCATTTTATGGCTAAACTATTTTTAAACATTGAACAGATATCAAAATATAGTCAACCCTCTTGCAGTAAGCATTATAAGTCCTAACGAATATGACCACCTCAGACAGTGGCAAGTGACCGAATTCCAAGATTACAAATAAACATTAGCATAAAATGTGAGGATTATGGCAGTAGTATAGTTGTCACCATTGCTACACTCATCAGCTTTGTCTACTGTAACAGAGTTTAAGCTACAACCTATTAGGAAAGGTAATGTTGCACATGCATGAACATGTAGTTCACTCGGCGAACTCACAGACCAGATACCAGTTTGTGTTTACTTCACATTAACTGGCTGTTTCGTATACCAGGTTGTATTCACATTACACATTGGAAAGACCACAAAAACCAACCATACAGGCAGCCTGTCACTTGAGGTTGAACCCAAGCCAGGTCAAACTAATAAAACTGTGGTTATTAACCATAGCCACTGGCAGGGCTCCATATCATCGGGATTTGACATTAAACAAAATAAAATTATCTACATTAATATGCTAAAAACCATGTTAAACATGACTAAGATATGAGCTTTAACATGCAATATGCCTGCTTTACAGCTGGGATCCAAATGAAAGGCTCCATCAAATTTCCCTTCTTTTATTACTATTTTGTACAGGGTTGTCCCATGTAGGGTTGTAACACTTTTTAGGATTGACATTAAGATGTATGACAGCTTGAAAGGAAATATTTTATTACAATATGATCTAAAGTTTCTAGAGCTAGCCTTTAATTTGTTCAAGTGGTTTCAATTTGTCATACATCTAAACATAAATCCTTGAGAAAACTGTAACCCTAGGCGAAGTAGCACAAGACAGTGATAAAATAAGGTTAACCTATTATTCCTTTCATTTTTTGGATAGTTGAATAGTCATCCATTTTTGGATAGCTGATGATGCAGACAAGCTGCTTGCAAAACCTTCTACTTTTGTAATGTTTAAACATGTTTACTAGCATGTTAACCTAGATTATTTTGTTTAACATTTTTCAAGTGTGTGTATCTTTCTGATATTAAGCAGAAAGGCCAAATGTGGGATTCTCAATCCATAGCTTAACATTTTCCTTGCACGCTGTCTAATTTTTAGCTGCTGACTGCATGAGTGAAATTGATACAGCTCTCGCCACTTTGTTTTATGAAAGGAGATGTAAGATGTTACAGATATTGTATTAATAGATATACCATGTTATAGATGTGTTACTACATATACAATGTTATAGATGCTGCGTTAATAGATACAGGATTTTACAGATGTTGTATTAATAGATGAAGGATATTACAGATGTATTAATGTTTCATTAAATTTAAACAAATTTAAATTTTAACAAACCTGTATATACGTAAAAAAGCAAATTTAAAGTTAAAATAATTATAAAATGTGCAAACATAAAAAAGATTTAATTTTTGAACTAATCTACAATATCATTTAAATTCAGACAGCATAAGTAAATCAAGCGCAAAACCAAACCATGAAAATAAATTCACCAATTTAGCAAATTAAAATTAATCTTTTTTAAATGAAATTTTTTTAAAATTTTTTAAATCTTTTTTAAAATTAAAATTTTTTTTAAATGCATAAATGAATGACTGTTGAGCAGACAGGAGACAGACTTATCAAGGGGAAGTTGCCTCCAAACCTAACTCTCCAATCATTCAATTCGTGTTTCGTCATTCATGTAGGCAAGGGTAAAAGTCAAAACCAAAAGTAAAGAGTGAAGAATGTCCAAAAAGAAATACAATAAAGTGGTACCTTTAGAAATTAGCAATTAAAAATTAAAGTTCTAAAAGGAAAATACAGTGGATGGAGACAAAAATATGGAAACACCTTGTGAAATGCATGTTTGAAAAGAAAGATTGATTTTAATGAAATATGTAGGTGGTGCTGGTGTTTTTGACTACTGACGCCAACTATACAACTTCGTAAATGTGCTAAACAGTTCAGTTGTTTGTCGGAGTACTCTTATGTGAGGTTGTCATTGCATTATGTAAGAGTTAACAGACTTCGAACGTGGGCAAAGTGTTGGAGCACGTATGGTAGGTGCTTCCGTAAGCAAGGTAGCCGAGGTGTTTAGTGTTTCAAGAGGTACTGTATCGAAGATTTATTCCGCATATTTGAAAAGCGGAAAAACATCATCAGCTAAATCACAGCGCGGACGAAAGTGTGTCCTGAGTGATCGTGACAGACGATCATTAAGGGCAATTGTGACGAAAAATAAGAAGACCACAGCTGCAAAAGTTACTGCTGAAATGAATGTTGTGTTACCAAACCCTGTGAGTACCAAAACAATTAGAAGGGAGCTTCATAAACAGGGAATTGCTGGCCGTGCTGCAATTGAGAAGCCACTCATCAGTGATGCTAATGCCCGTAACAGGAAAAGGTGGTGTTTAAGTCATAAAGCCTGGACTATAGAGCAGTGGAAGCGAGTAATATGGTCTGACGAGTCTTCTTTCACATTGTTTCCCACTTCTGGCCGAGTTTACGTCTGGAGAACGCCATCTCAAGCCTATAATACAGACTGCTTGTTGCCAAGAGTGAAACATGGCAGGGGTTCTGTTATGGTTTGGGCAGCCATATCGTGGTTCTCTGCTAGCCCCATGATAACTGTGTCAGGGCACATGACTGCCAAGACTTATGTGAACATTTTGGCCGATCAAGTTCATCCCATGGTACAAACTTTTTTACATGTTCCCCGATGGTGATGGTGTCTTCCAAGACGACAAAGCCCCTGTTCACACAGCTCACATTGTCCAGGACTTTTTTTTCTGAGCACGAGGATGAGTTGTCCCATCTCCCCTGGCCACCACAGTCACCAGACCTGAATATTATCGAACCTTTGTGGTCTACATTGAAACGGAAAGTGCGTTCTCGTTATCCACCGCCAACATCATTATCTGAACTTGCCACCGTTTTGCAGGAAGAATGGTAGAATATTCCCTTGGCAAACATACAGGAACTGTATTTATCCATTCCGAGAAGACTGCAAGCTGTTTTGGATGCCAACGGGTTTCCTACACCATATTAGGCAAAGAAACATGTTTTTTTAAAGTTTCCATATTTTTGTCCAACCCCTGTACCAATGAAGTTTTTTGAGAAATAAGCAATGTAAAGTCAAGTATTAAATTAAACTTTTTAAAAAAATTAAATTTTAAAAAGTTAATTTTTCAGAAAAATTAATTTAGAAACCAATGCATTTTAGAAACCCTTGTCTACAGATACCTCCCCGATACGAATATGCATATCAATAAAAAGAAAATAAAAAGGAACTAGACATAATTTATATAAACCAGTAAGAAACAAAAAGAAATAATTCATAATTTTTAATTTAAAAAAAAAATATAATTTCATACCTAGAATATACTTAAATACTACATAAAAGATATTTAAATACTTAAAGCAAGTAAATAGTAAGTTTTAATTCTAACTTACTTACTATATTAGCGTTGGGATCTGCAAAAGTATTTCCAAAGTGATGTAAGTGTGTTCTTCAAATTATATAGATGGCGCTCATGGAAGTAAAGTTGAATGCCAAGCTGCTATCTTTGTTTTATGAAAAATTTTTGGCAAACTTTAATATTAAAATATTTAAATATAAATCTAGAAAAAATTAAATATCCTAAAAGTATGTAATTCAAGTTTTAATTTTAACTGATCAACTATTTATGGTAGGGAGTTAACGAGCTGAGCCAATCAAGAGATGCACGTTTGCTTTGCAAATATCATAAAAAGAGTAATAATTGAAGTAAAAGTAGAGTTAAGTGGTTATTGTGAATTAATAAATGTAAACTGTTTGTAATGTGAAATGTGTGTTCTGTTGCAAAATTATGTAAATATTCCAAATAATAACGTTAAATGAAAACTTTTTTTTGTGAAAATTGCAAATAATTAAAAAGTAATTAAGTAAAACTGAAATGTTTTAAATTTTTTTAAAAAAAGTTTTAAAGTAAAATTTAAAATTTAAAAGTCTTAAAAAATTCTTTAAAAAAATTTCCAAAATTTTTTAAGTAAAAATTTTTTGAAATGAATTCCTTAAAAAAGTTAATTAAAAGTTATATTTAATGAAAGAAAATATTGAAAGTTTAATGAACTTGATTTCAACTGGTATATCAAAACTTAACTAAATACTGGCTGTAGCATGGAAAATTAGAAGATTAAAATCTTCACTCAATTCAGGCTATAATTGAGACTTTTGAAAAGAGTTGGCCCTTTATTAGTAAAAGGAAAGAATCCAGTATTGATTAAATATACATATTTACAAATTTATTTACAATAGAAATTTACAAGATAATTCCTTTACTCTTCTATATCTTCCATTACCCTCCAGCTAAGGTTTAAGGTAATGTTATCATACCAAAAAGTACTAAAAAATTATAAAGTTAATGCCTCCCTTTTTAATATATAAATTAATAAATTTTGGTGGTACTTGGTTATCAACTTGAACATTAATTAGCTTTATTATTTCTTCCTTTAAATCTTCTATTTCAGTACATATATTTTTTATTCTGATTATTTGGCTATGTAACGTGTTTTCTACAGTCAAAAGTCGTTAATTCGGACACCCATAATCCGTACCTCAAAGCTACAAACTTTCTGCGCATGCGTCGCGTTCACGCATGCGCACAGGCGTTTACGAGAGCGCATAAGACCCTTACAGCTGCGAATATGTTTGTGCGCATGCACGTTTAATGTGTAACGGAGTTATACGCTAAGCTAAAGTTATTTAATTCAGTTAATGTTGCAGATTGTGTTGTTCCTTAATCTTCGAATCGGATCCGGCTTATTAATTTTTGCAGACTGTTAGAGCAATTTTATAAAAGTAAGCTTGAACTTTCGATTATGTCAAATAGAATTTCCGATATATATTTACTACAAAGCGAAAGTATGTTTTGAAACCCGAAATCTGTTTATCAGTTTCACGCTGCTCTGCGGCAAAGGGGGG